GAAGACGTTGCACATATATGAAGAAAAAAAAGGGATGATGCTAGGGGTGAGGGGGTGGCTTTTCCAGTAAGTTTAAATAAGCCATAATGCTTGCCCCTTCCAACATAAATTGACGTGTTTTTGGATTTTTCCGAAATACCAGTATTACAAAAGTTATTAAAGGTTGATACTTTTATCTGAAAAGCACTGTATAAGTTGGCTATGACTGGTGTAAGTGGCGATCTCATTGGCAGTGCCTTTTCTTGTGTGAAGAATTCGTCCTTCAGTTGGAAATAACAGTTTCGTACACACCATCCTAGCAATTCCATAATTACTTCTACAGGTAAATATGTTCATCTTTCAGATTCCCGTCTTCAGATAGCTTCCTCTGTTTGATTTGGAGTGCTTCTTCGACAGGAACGTTGGTGTAAAGGCTTTCCACGTCGAAGTTGATCTTCATGTGTGACTTCAATTGCTCCTAGTAATTCGACAAAATGCCTTAAATTCTTCACAAAAGACGATGTTTTTCCTTGTAATGGTTGTATTATGGGGAGTAAAAACCTAGTCAAGTTTTGTGTAGCCGAATCTCTGAAGCTGATGATTGGTCTGAGTGGAACGTCCTTCTTGTGAATTTTGGGTAGTCCATACAAGTGAGGGGTTTCACTGTGGTGCTGTGGTACTGTGGGGTTCACTGAGAGAGATCATCGCTAACACCGCTCCTCACTTGTATGGACTACCCAAAATTCACAAGAAGGACGTTCAGCTCATACTGATCAACAGCTCCAGAGATTGGGCTACACAAAACTTGTCTCGAGTTTTACTTCCCACAATACAATCATTACAAGGAAAAACATTGCCTTTTGTGAAGATATCAAGGCATTTTATCGAACTACAAGGAGCAATTGAAGTCACACATGAAAATCAACAAATCAGTTTCAACGTGAAAAGCTTTTACACCAACGCTCCGGTTGAAGAAGTTCTCCAAATCATACATAGGAAGCTTTCCGAAGATGGGGACCTGAAAGATAGAATGAATTTACCTGTAGAAATAATTATGGAATTGCTAGAATGTTGTGTACCAAACTGTTATTTCCAACTGAAGGACGGATTCTTCACACAAAAAGAGGGACTGCCAATGGGATCGCCACTTTCACCAGTCGAAGCCAACATATACAGAGTGTTCCTTAAACACATGCTTATATTTTAAGGAAAAAACGTCCTATGGACGTATGTCCTAAACGCCTCAACTTTTGAGATACAGGGTGACAAAGTTTTCAAAAATAATCAGTTTTTTAATAATAACTGAGATAATTTTGTAGACATCTTTGGCATATTTGGTACATATATTCCATGCCTCAAGGCGCATTTTCTCAGTAAGGGAAGTCTTTACAAAACTACTTTTTAAGAGTGTTAGACAAATTTTATAGTAACTGCCAAAATGTTTATAAAACTGTTTTGTAGTGCTTGTAAAACGCCTTACAAAATATTGATAATAACTATGATGTTTCATAAAACGATGCCAATTCCCTATTTATAGCAGTTTTATAAACACATTGAAAACATTTTTGGGAGAAATGTAGTTTTATAATTTGTATCTCCAAAACGTATCCGCAACTATTATAAAATACGATATTGACGTTACTATGTTCGAAAATGTTATTACCTCTTATTATATAGTTTAAAATCAATATGTATTCAGGCGATTATCAAAAGTTTTGCCATTTTGTAGTAGTTGAAGATATTGACATTATATTCTAGGGTTATGAAATATTCGTCAGGAGCTTCAAAATGATGTGTCACAAGACCCCCCTTTCAAACAAACAATCAATGATGGCTCGATACTCGATTTTGTCTATTTTCATAAAAACCCTTCCATCAACTGACTCAAACAAATGTTACATAACAACTGTGAGTCCAAAATGGCTGAAACTTCGGTGAGTAACTGTCAATAGATGAGAAATGAAATTCACAAGCTTTTATTTACGAGTGCCGCTATCTTCATGTTGACGTCGGAAACTTTTCGAACCAACCTCGTAAGTACAATTTCAGCAGGGACCAATATCAATTCGAGCATCGCAGCAAGGTAGCCCTTCGACCGTTACTGCATCGCCTTCAATAATGTCTGCCGCAGTAGCAGACAAAACGTCAAGTATGAAAACATGCAGACCACGGCTAATAAACCCGGAAACAGTGGACAGCTTATAATACTAGAATTATTTTGAATAATTTTTGAACTTACCCATTTACAACGAAATTGCTGATATAAGTAATTAGTATTTTCGAAATGTAAACATCGTTGTGATTATATGTCCCACTTCCGCTGAGGGGTAACCCAAAAATGTACGGGATCTCGTCTCCTCGAACACTACCAAGTCTCTGAAACCAACAGATTGAAAAAGCATCAGTATCTAATCATTTTATTTTCAATATTTTTTTTTCAACTGTGGACCCGCAAACAAATTCAATATTATTAATTGATTTTGGAGGACTTGGATAGTCGTGAATTGAGTCTAGTGTAATCAATCGTTGAATTTGAACGATTTTTTCAACAGGTTTTCCAAGAAATCTCATTAGAAATATACTGCAGTATATTTCAACAGTTTACGGTTCTACTGTGAGATGGTAGTAAATCCT